AACTTGTTTGAACCGAAATCTATTACAGCTAAGCTAGAGAAGACTCAAACCCACCAGCCGGAGAATTAAGCATTTTGTATATTCTTCCTTGAAATTGTAAGCTACTTGAATCCTACCCAGAGACCACTGTTTAGCTGAGAGTATATATTTTTAAAGAATGATCGCCTCCATCCAAAATGACTAGAGAATTATCTGATGTGAAAGCTAACGCCAAAGGATAGGAAAGACCCTGAGTTATCAACGGTGTACACATAGGGAATTCTTCAGGTTTTCCAAGAGAGAAAACGGCTTGGTTATAGGCATCAGTTACTATTACTTGCCCTTCCCTGCTAAAGGTCACAGCACTGGCATGGACTTTGGAAGGGAAGACAAGATGCAGGCCAAAACTGTCCACCTGACTGATTAGCTGCAAGTCCCTGTTGAAGATTTTCAGCCTGGTATTGCCGTAGCAGGGCCCTCTGGCCATCAAATGTTCGATGACAGCGATGGCTCCAGAGACGGGCGAAACAGCCACTTTCCTTGGGTAACACAGGTTAGAGTACAACTTTTTCACTCCCTTTAATTCTCCCTTTTTAAAGTCAGCCGACAAGCAGTACAGAGCACCTGCCTCCGAATCGGTCATGAGGATGTCGTTTTGTGGCAGGGTGTCAAGGCCCCAGGGCAAGGAAAAGGACTCTGCGATAACCATCTTGCCTCTGCCATCACAATCAAACACTTTGACCGAACGATCCCCGCTATCTGTGACCACAATATGGCCATCCAGCGTGACCGCAACATCAGTGGGATACCTGAGGTCATTTCCCGATTGCCCTCTTTCTCCAAACTGCTGTATGCAGCTGCCACTGAAGCTAAACAGCTTGATTCGTTTCTTGCCATCGTGGGCTACTGCTAAACAGCTGGAGCTCTGGCACACAGCCAGCCCAGTGGGGTTGATCAGCGTTCCCCAGCCTCCAAAAGAAAGATGAAAGGTAAAGACCTGAGATCCAGGGGCAGCCACAGCCGCCCGTCTCCCTACTGTCCTTCCAGCAACCGGAGTCCGATTGGCTGAAGGACTCAAGATTTCCATCAGGTGCAACAACGGCAAGCAGTCACTGGTCTCTGAAGCTTTGCAAGCTCTGCGGCAGAAAGGGCACTCCAGCCTGAAATTCCGAGGGTGGGCCAGAGACATGACACACTCCAGGCACATCACATGTCCGCATGGCAAGTTCTTCGGCCGATGTTTTTTCTCAGGGTTAAAATTTTCAAAGCACACTTTGCATTCGAGCAGATTGTTCTCAGACTGATCCAGCAGCTCTGTCATGATTTCTGTTTGATCAGCGGCTTTGGCAGTCATTAGGAGACATCTAAGAGGATTGATTGTTGCGCTGCTGAGGAGTGGGAGAAGGGGGAGTGCTGTGCCATCTGGTCACATTGGTGCGGTCACAAGACCCTCTTACCTCAGAGGCCTTTACGGATGGCTGCAATCCACAATGCAAGCTTGCGTTGATGTTTGCTGCCCTCTTGAGGACACTCACAAAAGTTCTTGCGTGAGGAACATGTGGATGCAAATAATCAATGCATTATGTTTTTCTTAATTGGTTGTAATGTGAGAAAAAGAAGATAGAGCTATGCACCAGAATCACTGAAAGATGAATCCCAACAATTGTAATATCCTTCACGTAAAGACATTTGTTCCAGTGAGTTTGGGAAGCTAGCAAGTCTGATTTGATTTGCAAACAACTCACATGAGATTAAAGTCCAGTAAAATAGACAGAGCAGGGAAGGGTGAAAGTTGATTTGGCAGTCTTGGTTGATTAGAACTAACAATATAAGTAATCCTTTTTTAGTGATTCCTATTGGGACCTGCAATTAAGTTGTTAAGCAAAGCGGTGGCTAAGTGAAAGTACGACTATGATTATGATCTTATTTCAACTTTTATTTGCTTTACAGACCTGCAAAGATTGTAAATGTGGGCAATGGTTGCAAAACTGCTTTTTCATCATCATTGTACTGTAGCTGCAATTTGACACTAAATGAGGCAGTCACTAAACAAGGACTACTTGTATTCATAGTTTTGTTAAAGATTCTTCCCTTAAATGTATTACCTATAAAGTACTTTGGTAGCTATTAAAAAAAGTAATAAATAAAAATCTAAAAAGCTAGGAATGACTAGGTGGAAATGCTGATCTTGGCTGATCCCAAAAGAATATTAGTAACACAAGATAACCAGGAAATCCAAACTTGGACTAGGAAATAAAAAAATAAAAAAGAGATATTAGAAGAAAACAATGGTAAAGTAAGTCCACATGCTTTCAACAGCTTAATGTTCATTGTAGTTGTCTTGTACCTATAGTGAGGAAAACAAAGTTCCACTTACCAAGATGCCTTATGTTACATAACTTATAAGAAGGGAAGTAGTTTTTAAAAGAACTTGGTTGGCCATTGAACAGATCAGTATCAAAAATAGAATTATAGAAAGTCACCGGGACAAATTAGCTACCAAACCAATTACAGCAAACATAAAGGAAATTTTGGCATGAAGAAGGTATAGAATTAGCTGAAGCTCTTCCTAAAGATGGCTCTCTTCCTAGTGTTCATTGTGTTAAGAAGCAGTATACATTAAAGAGTAAAAGCAGGCACACAACCTTTAACCTCTCAGTCTTGCTAAATCGGCAAATAGGATAAGAATAGGATATCAACCTTACTAGGTAGATCAGGTGGGGCATCAGGGAGGGTCCTTCCTGACCCTCTTATTCTGCCCACTATGCAGCTGGAGGCTATGCTCCCTCTTAACCTGACTGTCTACCTAGGCAGCATATCTTCGCCCCATCTCCCAAGGTTTTCACCACTATCATTACATAGGAAGGCAGTTTGGTTCAAGGATCTGGGATCTGCAGAACTACCTTGACCTGAGAGTAAGTGGGCTCAAATTCTCCTATATCAGTCAGCAATGTCAACTTTTCAACCAATTTTCTACCCTTCTGGCTATTTCTGTCTGCTGGGTAGTCCTGAATCATTATCCTGGCATAAGATTAAATGCCATTTTGTCTCATGTAGTGAAGACTTCTAGGAAAAAAAAATATGCAAAGATAAGAGATCAATGGAACTGCTGCTCTGGATTCCTTTATGCAACAGATCAGGTAGAAAGACAATTCAGTGAATGAATGATATCAATATTCTGATATAAAGGATAATTGGTCCAATAGTGTTTCTTTTGTAATCACAAATATTTACATGCACTCATTGAACCTTTTAGGGAGAGAGAGAAAAACAGGCTAGGAAGTAAAAATCACTCACTGCATTCACTCACTTTTTAGATTAAAACAGGCAACTATTTTTTATTTTTAATGACATGATACTGGCTTTCCCATTCTGGTACTCTCAGTGGCTAATTCTAGAAGACAAAGACTTGGCCATGTGCAGCTCAGTTTTACTATCCATTCAATATGACAGATTGTTGTGGGCAGACAGTGGACTTACCACTATAACAGAAGCTACCATTATAGGCGTCTCCTGTTACTTGGCAATATTCACCCTTATGCTGAAATAGATCTCTAAATCTCACCTTCCAAGATCTCTTATGGGGACCACATTGGGGGAAATCAGAGTACTATAATTACCAATTACTCCTGAAATGTAACTGATGACCCAGTGCCATCATCAAAGATGCAGTAATGATAAGGTGATATATAAGCAAAACCTTTCTTTCTTCTCTGGGTGAATGACATATTTAAACAGAACCAAGTCTCCATTTCTAATTTCACTTGTGGGGGTGGATAGAGAAGATGGCATAGGCCATAGCTGCAGCTAAGTAAGGAGCTACCTTCTTTTCATCCCACATTTCTTTCCCCTCTGATCATTATTTCCATTTGCATTTTATATTACAATACACTCGTATAATAATATATTACTTATTTTAAATATAATAAGTATTTAAAAAAACCAATGCTCACATTTATTTTCTTCTTCCTATTTCTTTTATATTTTTATATTCTGTATTTCAAATTATAAACAGGTGAGGAAATCTCATTTGCTGGAAATCTTTCATAAACTACTCTCTTAATACTTTTGAAATAAAAACTGGTAACCAAACAAAACCAGGCCTTCATGTTAGCTATTTGTGTACCTGTCACAAATAGAATTGCCCATAAAGTATGAACCAGCTTTTGATATATTGTGCTCTCTTTTTTCCAAACAGCTTGGTGTAAGTGATAGGCGACAGCAGCCAAGCAGGATGGTATCAACAGAAGTTACTGGAGTTGACGGTCTCCTGAGCCTTGCCAATAATTTCTTATTTATCTCTCCCTCACCCAGTTGGTGATTTCTTACCACGGGAAATGACTCATTCTCCTAAGCAAGGGCAAACTTCTGGCATGCCTACCACTGCTTGAAAATATATCAGCAATAGTACTGCAATGCAGGGGGAAAAAAAACAAACTGCACAAACTGATTGATAATTCAATGATTCTGACTTCTGGAATTTCATGTTGGCACATTCTCTTCCTGTCTCAGATTGCCTGGCTGAACTTGTTGCTCAAAGCAGATGCCAGCGCAAAGCTGATCTTTGCTGATCCTTGGATAAGAGATCACCAGAGATCTCGCAATAGTATTTGAAAACAAAATCTTGGAAAACAACTGTGGGGAATCTCTTCCATATCCTTGTCACAAAAACTACACATAAACATCCATAGAGTCATCCAATTTTAAGCTTGATTTGAGTGAAGTCTTTACCTTATATAGGCTTATACAGAAGTCTTTACCTTATACAAGAGAAAAGCTGTGTGCCATACATCAGGTGGTGGACCAGGCAGAAATACTACAAAAGGCAACAAATACATATACAACAGGAGGCCTCTAATAGAGGTTTTACTGAGCATCCTACAGCCAAGAAACCTTTCCAGCAAAGTCAATATTGTGTAATGTTACGGATTTATTTAGCTTGGCATAATGCTGATTATTAGGATGAACCCAATAGATGGGAAAATGGGGAGAAAGCACAAATTCTGATGTAACTCTTGAGATTCCATTTTAACAATGTAGGTTTATTTGCAAAGGCAAATTTCAAGAAAATTATTCTCAGAGATATTGATAATAGAAGAAAGTATCTGAAGAATGATTGATCCTCAGATCAGAAACATTCTCAGAGATGTTGATAATAGAAGAAACTATCTGAAGAATGATTGATCCTCAGACCAGAAACATTATGGTGTATGGCAACCAAGTGGTTTTTCTCATCCTCGAGGAGTAGGTCTAGGAGTCATCTCGGTTCTTTCAATATAATCAAGTATAAAACCTCCCATAAATAATCTAAACCCCACTTCTTATGTCGCTCTTCCAAACTATAGACTTTTTCAAGACATTGAATATCGCAGTCTTTTCCTAGGAGGAAAGAGGGAAAAAAATTACTTTCAATGGTTTTGACAACATTCAACATTCAAGGTTGTCTCGGCCTTCCATCCTTCCGAGATGGGTAAAATGATGATTCAGATTGTTGGGGGCAATATGCTGACTCTGTAAACTGCTTAGGAGAGGGCTGTAAAGCACTGTGAAGCAGTATATAAGTCTAAGTGCTAAGTGCTATTGCTATTCATTATCCTTTGGGTTTCTTTCCCCTTCTGTTACACATTATAAATGCCTCACATGGAAAAAAAAGTACTTATTTTTTTAAATAACTTTTATCAAAATAAGATTCCTAAGTGTATACGCTGCTATGATAAAATCTCTTTTAATCACTCTAATGTACTCTCACCTAATGCTTTAATTAATAGGGAGGCTGTTAATAGGTTTTGCAATATTGATGTGTGATGGTGAAGCTATTTCCTCTGCATGCTTTTGAGCTAAAAAAAAAAACAAAACCCCGAATGAAAGACTATGAATGCAGCCAGGCAGCCATAGCAAATAGTGGCAAGTGTGAGAAAACAAGTATGTGCACTTATATTGAGAGATGTTATTCTTGTTAAAAGTTGGACCCAGAGGTAGCCTACCAACAGGGGACAGCCCTTCCATAAATGGAGGGCATTTTCCAACTAAAACAAGAGTCTTGCATGAGGAATGATATTTTAAAACAACACTGCTTTTCTTAGCACTATGCATGCCAAAAACCTTGGGCAGTCTCTCAAAATTCATGTCACACAAAGGACTTGCCCAGTATTTTAAGATGCAGTTGCACTTAACCAATGGAACAGCTTGCCATCAGAAGTTGTGGGTGCTCCATCACTGCAGCTTTTTAGTGCAGTGGACTTTTTAGAGACTGGTCATAAATTTATCTGAAATGGTATAGGGCTTCCTGCTTGAGCGGGAGGCTGGACTAGTTTCCAACTCTGTTATTCTGTTCTGTTCTGATCCCTTATGGACCACGTTTGCTGCCACTGTCCAACTTCTCAAGCGCTGTTCTCACAGAGCTTTGCTCAATATCTCATGAGGCATATTAACACAAGGCAACCACAAATATGAGGCATTCTTTACTGTCCTTTGTACAGCTTTCTGCAAGCATAAGGCCATGGCAACAAGAATGTTTTCCACCGGCATCACTCTAGATCCAACTAGCTTGAAGCAGTGCAGAGAAATGAGTCATTTCCATGTGGCACAGTCCAGATAACAGGACTGGGTATGGATTGAGGCAAAAACAAACAGTCTCTGTTGTAGATCTGCAAAGCAGATTTTGTCCAAAGTAGTTAGGAAAGGTGAACACAAAGGGGTGTTAGATTTATAGTACGACTCTGGGATCAAAAAAGAGTTAGAATAAATCCAAGAATCTAGACTGAATTACTAGAATTCAGCATGGAAAGTAACCTTGAACTGGAAGGATACAGTATCTGTTTGCTAGATGTGCAGATTCAAGTTTCTTTTTTTCCTAGCACAAAAAATTGGCAGGAATAGATTGAGGTCATTGATATTTATCCTGAGCTTTTGTTTTGGATTGCATATGTCCCTAGATTCAATTTAGGAAATAAAACGTTCCTACATAATATCCCTGCATATTTTTAATATAGAAAATGCTGCATTTGTTTCTAAACGTTAGCTCCAGGCATTACTAAGAGTATGTAAGACAATAGGTCAGAAAAATAAGCCTGAGTAGCTGACCTCCAAACAGAACAATCATTTGAACAGAGAGAGAAAAAGATTCTTCATACAAGCAAATGTATACCCAGATCAGCAGAATGCATTATTTGAGGTCTTTCTATTTCAAAGACCTGTTTAGTGGACTTTGCATGCGAGGGAGAAATGTTTCATTACACTGAACGTTTTGTCTATTAAATCTAGATTTGTGTGTGCAAATGATGCCATTTACATTGATTATGCAAATAATGTAAGTTGACAGAAATGACACTCAGTTAGATTTATCAGACATTTGGATGTAAACAGCAGCCTCTTTCCCAAATACCATATTAAGGTGCTGGTTTGGGGGGTATTTGACATGGCTCTGTTTCCTCCTAGTCTATGAAAATAAGCATTTTCATTCCTGAAAGAGGACAGGTGCCACTGTAAAGCACTTTTAGACATAGGTTAAAGTTTCTTTTTCATTGACTCACCAAATAAACTTTTCACGTCTGAATCAGCAACATAGAATGGTGGACCTATAACAGAAAAGATGAAGTTAGAAATTCAGAAATTAAAGAAAACACAGCTAAAGCCCTAAATGTTCACTTTTAAGAAATGAGAATTCAGGGATTTATTTAGTTTAATGTCAATTCAGTTTGTAACAGTCCATTTCTATTTTGAAAAATAGATGGATGGCAGTAGAAATGTGAGGAAAAAAAGGACAGTCACTTGAGAAACTTTATACAATGGCTTGCTCTTGATATCCGAAACTGCACTCCCAGTTTTAGTTCTGAACTGAATGTTATAAAATTATGGCAGATTCCTAGAATACGGAATAGCAGATTTTAAAAAAAACTGAATTTCCATTGCCATACCCTGGAGAGTCATTAATATTTTGATTGTTCATTATAGTATATTCTTATACATTAGTGATCTGGTTTGTTTTAATCATTTTTTGCACTAAATCATGTCTTTAAATAATTTTAAAAAAAATTATCATGGTTGCCTAGTTTAAAAGCTAAAGCCATGAAAAAGACGCAAATCACTGAATAAATACAGTAAAAGTATTGAAAAGGATTAGAAAGGATTTCAGACTCACATTCACTGAGGAATTCTATCTGTTTAGACTTGCTAAGCCTGTCCTCTAATCATGCTAGACCAGTATTTCTCAATCTGGAGTACTTTAAGATGGGTGGACTTCAACTCCCAGAATTCCCCTTGCTGGTTGTTGAAGTCCATCCATTTTAAAGCCACTAAAGTTGAGAAACACTGTGCCAGACCAATCCCATACTAATCTTAAGACCTTACTTCCAATTACAAAGGATGTAAGATTCTCCCAATATCTAGCTGAGACTTTAGTCCCAATGTCTTACCTTTGTGTTTCCTTGCATCATATAACAAAGTAACTAGAAGGCAGCGACACATTCTGTTCATTAGTGATAGTATCAACTGGGCATAGCTAAAAAAAAAGGGCAAGAAACACATACTGGGGAAAGCTGATATTTTATTACAAAGAAGGAATTGAAAATGCAGATCATAAGAAAAGTTGGATTCACACAGCATGATGAGCTATGATTCTTAACCCTTTTAAAGTGACAATTGATGCAGACAATTGTCTTGCTAACCACACTAAAGCACAACTGACTTGCTGAAAAGGTTTGTTTCCTATAATTATACCAACCCAAAACTATGCTGTATCTTAGCATGGAGTGTGAAACAACACAGCTGCTGCTGCTTCCTTTTCCTTTTCCAGAGAGTTGAAGGAGACATATACTGAGTGTCCATTTTATCTCCACAACAATCCTGCGAAGTATGTTGTGGCACATTAATACACATTGTGGCACATTTGAGGCACATTAAGCACAACAGCACACTGGATCTCACTCATATATGTGGGGGGGGAGAAGCAGGATGTTACTTAAATATTCAGATTCAGGCTTTATATTGGCTGGGTTTGTGTGTTATAACAGCATATTTGGTTTGATTTTACACACACACACAATACTGATACGATGTATATGTTTAAACCCCTGCTTATGTCATAGTAGATCCATGTTCTACTTACAGAAGAGCCTACTTAGTTGGCCTTAACTAAGTTCAAGTTTGGAAAGATGAGGACTACAGATTAGCTTAAAAATAGTTCATTTAGTGACTGTTTGAAGTTACAACGGACCTGAAAAAAAGCAACTTATGACCGTTTTTCACACTTACAACCATTGCAGTAACTCTATGCTCAAGTGATCAAACTCCAGACATTTGGCAACTGACTCATGTTTATGATGGTTACAGTGTCCTAGGCAGGGGTGAAATGCTACCGGTTCAGTCCGGTTTGGGTGAATCAGTAGTGATAAAAACTACCGGTTCGGGTGAACCGGTAGTAAAAAAAATGCTTTAAAAAGTAAAGAAAAGATTCCAACAATCACGCGGCAGAGCTGTGATTGTTGGAACCTTTTTTTTTTCTTTTTTAAAGCATTTTTTACTACCAGTTTGGGCGAATAGGTAGTAAAAAATGCTTTAAAAAGTAAAAAAAAAAACGTTGGCCACACCCACCCAGTCACATAACCTGCCCACCAAGCCACACCCACAGAACCAGTAGCAAAAAAAATTGCATTTCAACACTGGTCCTAGGGTCACCTTTTGCGACCTTCTGACAAGCAAAATCAATGGGGAAAAACTCAGTTAACTAATGTCTTATTTAGCAGCAGAAATTTTGGGCTCAATTATAGTCATAAGTCGAGGACTACCTATACTCAGCCTATGCAATGAAAGACAAGTAGCACTGTCCAGAGAAGGCACAGATCACAGTTTAGAGATATCAACCAATATCTCCAGAAGCAAGCAACATCATCCAAGGTGGTTAAGAATTAAATTAAAAAAGCAAAACGCTCTGAAAGTCCAGATGTGAGCAATACCCAATACAGAGGCTAAGAGGATAATGAAACAATTGTGGAGAAAAGTGTCAAGGAATTGTAGAGAAGCTATTTTGGATACCAAGCTGTTCTGATGAAACCAACCCTGAAGCAAACAGTTATATACATCAGCAAAGTCTTGATGGGTCTCTCAGAATATTCAGTCCATTGCACTAACATGCTGCACTGCATTTCCTATTAGGGCAATGCTGTCAGTAGAAGAGAAATAAAGTATTTGAGTACTGCTGTCATTCAAACCTCACCACACCTTACATGTTACCTGTGATGGCGCACTTGTGACTTAAATGTCATGACCTTGTTATGTCAAGTATCCCAATAATTATTTCATCTAATATTGCAAAAGTTATTTAGTAAAGGCATCCCCAGTACAGAATGATTGGAACAAGTTAATCACTCAGGAAGAAAGAGCTATTTCCTTGGCACCCTCAACAAGCAACGCCGTGGTTCCTGATATGAACATAAAATGCAGTTCCCAGTTACTGACCGTTCTCTCTCAGAAGGGTTGACAGCTACTAGAGAACCTCTGTCCCAAATCCCATCAAAATGACCAGCAATAGAGCTACAGGGTGGAGAGAAAAAGTCACATCAAACATCTTAAGTACTATTTTTGGTCAATCCAGAAAAGCAATGTTGCATTAAAAAAACAAATACAGAAGACAAAAGGTTTTAAAATCCACATGAGCAAGAAACAGCCTAAAGATACAGCTTTGATATGGATGCTGAAAGTTTTACAGAACTAGGGAGAATGTATTTTACTGCAATATGCCTGATATGATCCAAGAATCAGAAAATGAATTGATATAATTGCTTCATTTGCACATAATGCTACGCTACCGTGTTTCTCCTAAAACACGACCAACCCCAATAATAAGCCCAACCCTATTTTTTGGGGGGTGGGCCTAATATTACCCCTACCCCGAAAATAAGCCCGGGGGGATGGGTGTGGCCAGCACAAGTGGTGGTGTGGGCGTGGGTGGGACACTGGCTGCAGCCCTCTGGCCCCTTGGGGCAGTGCAAATACCCCTTTTGCCCTTCTCTTTCTGGGCAGCGTGCTTCTGTTTGTTGGGCCGCTTCCCCGAAGCCGGCAGCTCTGTGGCCAGCTGCTTTGCTTTTCCCCTCTTTTTGGGAGGCTCGCGGGAGGCTTTTTGGTGAATGGGAAGAAAATGGGGAGGGGAGATTTTCCTGCCTGTCATCCATTCGTCAAGCTCAGCACAGACTGAGGAAGGATGGCAGGCAGGAAAATCGCCCCTCCCCATTTTCCTCCCGTTTGCCAAAAAACCTCCATTCTGAACGCTGAAAGTTCGGAATGAGGCAGCAGTGCGTCCATGGGGCGTCCAGCTCACCGAGTCTGGCCTGCTGCACTTCAAAAAAAAGTAAGAATGCTTTGAAAATAAGACCAAGTGCTTATTTTCAAGTCTAAAAGAAAATAAGACTTGGTCTTATTTTCTGAGAAACACAGTATAATACGATGCATTCATTCTGACTTAGGATCATTTGTGAACCAAAACACATTATGACATATGCCATAGCACTTACAAAACCCCTAACTGGCATCCAGGAAGTCCTCACTAAGTTTTGTCACAAATCACCAAACTCTGCTAAGATCCCTAGATCTTATAAAATGTCAATATTCTTGCATGAGACCTTATGATACAAGTAACAATGTATAAGGAGATTTGATGAACAGGTGAGTTTTGGGCCATTTTAAAATATTTTGAAATCAATTCAGAGACATGCACCGTTACACAATACAAGCAGTTTTCCACTTACAACAGTTCCTTTAGTGACTGCTCAAAGTTACAATGGCACTGAAAAAAGTGACTTATGACAATTTTTCACACTTACAACCATTGTAGCCTTCCCATGGTCACATGATCAAAATTCAGACTCTTGGCAACTGACTCATATTTATGACAACTTCACTGTCCCGGGGTCATGTGATCACTTTTTACAACTGTTTTACAAGCAAAGTCAATGGGGAAGCCAGAGTCACTTCACAACCATGTTACTAACTGAATAAACTGCAGTGATTCATTTAACAACTGTAGCAAGAAAAGTTGTAAAATGGGGCAAAATTCACTTAACAAATGTTTCACTTAGCAACATAAATTTTGGGCTCAATTGTGGTCATAAGTCGAGAGCTACCTGTATTATGTCATAGTGCTCAGTGCTTAAGATGATAGATCCCTGGCATTGTTTTATATATAATCTAGCCCATTTATCAAATATTAACATGATGTGTGAGCTCAGCCAATGTCTATTTTCATGGCATGAAAAACTTATTACCTATCATATACACACCTGAGCCAGAGTAAGATTTCCCATAGATACATAGCAGGTAAAGTTGAAAGCCATCAAATATGTTGAATGTGTGGAAAGACTCAGTATTAATTTCTTCTTACCTGGTTAAATCATATAGATTGCAACAATAGAGACAAATATTCAGAGATGTGCACTACAATGAAAAATAAATGATTTTTTTTTTAAAAAAGATAAAGCAACAAAAATGTAACTTAACATTTTTAACATCTAAACATTCTATCTTATTTTATTATTAGTTGTATTTTCTTAGTGCCAATGCTATACTGTTTCTGTAGGCATAAAGCAAAATTAAGCATTAAAATAATTCAGCACATAATAAAAGCAATAACATATTTTAATTTTCATTTAAGATGAGCTTTAATAGATATAAATGTGTATATGTATATATTGTATATAATGCTTAAGGATAGTGAACTATCTAGTCTTAAACATGCAAGGTGTTTATTTACATTTCAGTTTAAATAAAGGAACTTCAGAAGAGGTCCAAAAGGAATGAATTTTACAGTTTTCATCAAGGAGTTCCCTTCTATCATCAAGACATTCTATTCTTTCAATAACAATTATAGATTTTAATTCCACTTTCATTATTAATACCCTACTGCTATGAATTTCCTGCTATACTTCTTTTGGGATAATTAATATCATTACTTCATTACATGTATTTTAATGATGCCCAATCCTCATTGTTGTTATTTTAATTCACAGTTTGCAAGAATTCATATTTTAAATCAATAAACAGAGACGTATCTACTTTGGGCCACTGATAAAAAATTTAGGCTAAGCTACACAAATAAACATAATTACATTTCTACAAAGAAAACAGAGGGTTCAATACATACCTTCAATAATTTAGCTCCAGGGATTTCTGGAACTATTTCTTCTGAAAATGAAAGATTTTGTTCCATGAAAAAGTCCTTCAATGCATTTTCACTAATTTCCACACCAACCACATGGTGTCCCATGTCAGCTAACCTATACAGAACAATAAAACATGCCATGTTTACTCAAGTATTACTGTTGGAGGTGTTTTTTTTTTTTTTTTTTACAATAAAAGAAGAGAGATCAAAGTCCTCTTTGTGTTAGTGGGCAACTGCATATTATAAAAATCAGGATATTGTCTGTGGAAAGTTCTATTATTTTTAAAGCAAATAAAACTTTGGACTGAAGAAACTGAAGCACAATGCAATAGAATGGTAAGAAGCAGCACTGAATGTTTTGTTCTATTTTGCTTCTCTACTTTTTTGTAAGACTTTTTAACCTGCTAAATATCATGGGATTTTTTCCCCATTAAGTTAAAAGCATAGGGTGCCTTCCTCCCCATTTTTTTTCCAACAGTGATGTAATAAAATTGGAATATGAAGATGTAGATGCGTGGAGGACTACAACAACTGCTTTGAATGTAAAACTGGTCCAAGATTATTAACTTACATTTTAAAAGTTTATTTCCACATTGATTAAATTCACTCAGATGGTGGATCCTTGATAAACTGGGAACATTTGACGAAACATGGTGATTATCAATCAAACAAACATAGAAAAATCCATTTTGATATTAGCGGTGTTGTGAGTAACATAAAGACTTTATTTCTATAATACATTGAAAAGTATGTGCATCCAAATGGGTTGTGTTATTATTCAAACATAAAACTTTCATATTTTATTGATTATTCTAGGAGCAGGGAGCAATTACCCCTCCAGATGTTGTTGGGATATTAGGCTTAGGAGCTTAGGAACGTTGTCCTCGACATACAACCACAACTGAGTCCAAAATTTCCATTGATAAGTAGGACAGTTGTTAAGTAAATTTTGACCCATTTTACGACCTTTCTTGACATAGTTAACTGAATCACTGCAGTTGTTAAGTGAGTAACATGATTGTTAAGTGAATCTGGCTTCCCCATTGACTTTGCCTCTCAGGTGGTTGCAAAAGGTGATCACATGACCCTGGGACACTTCAAACTGAAAAAAATACATGCCACTTGCCAAGCAGCTGACTTTTGATCACATGATCATGGGGATGTTGCAATGGTCACAAGTGTGAAAGACAGTCATAGGTCACTTTTTTCAGTGCCATTGTAACTTAGAACATCACTAAACAAATGGTTGTAAATTGAGGACTTTCTGTATAATTAAGCAATATCTGGACAGTCACATGTTTTTCAGCCTTAAGACTATTCTAATCACAACTCTCTATTGACTCTCTATCACTCTCAGCTAACATCTCTGGCTATCTGTAAGGGGTCTAACTGTTTATTAGAGTCTCTGCACAGCTTCTGCTTATTTTAACAGACAATGGCTTGTCTCAATAAATTGATCAAGCTACAAAGGAAGACATTTTAAATTGGATTTAAGATTAAATCGTTTAAATCCTAATCCACATTCACAACCAGACAGCCTTCAGATGTTTTGGATTCCAGCTCCACGTGTCCCAGCTGTTCTATTAATGTTTATGGATGATGGATGCTAAAGTCCAAAACTCTGAAGGATGGTAGGTTGAAGAAAGTTGGCTCATTTCTCAGCTTGAGAAGAATGACTTAGCAAAGTGAAGATTTTGAAATACAGTGGTATCTCAGTACTCATCGTCAATTGGTTCCAGAAGGCATAATGAGAACCAAATATGGTGAGCATCAAACAAATTTTTATCCTAAGGAATAATGTAGTGAGTCACAGCTGACATCAAGATCTAACTTATGCATCGAGTACCAAACAAACAATGAATACAGGGACAAAATTATTGTGTTAAAATGCATTGTGTACCAAATTTGATGAGTTTCAAGGTACAGTTATACAGAATTTAAATTTGCCTAGTGAAGGAGAATATCACATGGCTGAAAATACATGAGGGACTCAGCAAAGTTACCCAATCTTTTTCCTCATGTTTTATTAGTTGTTATTTGTTTATATACATGAAGTGGTATAACAAAATCTACATAAAACTGAAATGATCTGACAATTCATTTACCATTTCATTTCAACAGCTTTCCCACAAAGTGGAAAAAATATTCTTAATTCCTTCCTGCCATTGACAAAGATATCCAAGTATTTCTTCAGGAATCTGGAACAAAAAAAGAGAAAAGAAATTGTTATTTTTTAAAAAGAACATATAGTAACTGATCTTCATACTCATATTCTTATAGAACCTTAATAATTTGTAAAATGCCAATTCAAATACTGAGCTTTCTTCAGCACGACCTGATGAATTATATTTAAAAAAGCTAAGGACCTTTATTGAAAGCAGTTAACCAAGGAAAGTTCTTGAAAACAACAAAGGTGAAAGCTGAATATAGAAAAGAAACAATTGCAAAGCGATTTGTTCATTGGAAGAACGAGCAAATGTATGGTCAATACTTGAAGGATATAGAAGGAAAAAATGATTTAGAAACCCACATGGAGTTGGTTAAGACCAAGAGTTACGCTTTGAATTGGCCAGGCCTCTTTCACACATTTTGCAAAGTGGCAATGTTTTTTTTAAAGTGACATCAGGCTGAAAGTCATGAGGATTCCTTGGCTTGCAGAATACTTACTGATGTTCTTCCTTTTTATGAAATCCAATATTGTTTGTTTCCCAGCAATTTAGCCAGTCTTTTTCGGTCATCACTCGATCCCACTGTAACTCTGGATCATCGCAATCTTCATTTCTAGAGGAGCTCGAGGAATTTTCCATGGTCCAGACAACCTTTGTACAGCTTGACATATTCAAAAATTACCAAATTATGTAAATGATTAACATTCCTTTTAAAACCTTTGTCTATGTTCATAAGGTAATGGGTTTTACATCCTCAGGCTAAAAGTTATTTTTAAAATAACAGTGCAACATATGCAGGAAATAGCTATTTAAAGAATTATGTTTGGCTTTCCTCCTAGTTCACCTCACAGCATACATCCAATAATGTTCAGGATTGCTGATTTCCTGAACAAGTGAAAGTAGTGTGTGTATTGAGAGAGGGAGGAAAGAAAAGGAAGAAGAAAAAAAAAAGAGAGCATGCTTTATGGTTATGTTAATGAATATCTGCAGGACAGGGAAAGGACAAAGGGCAAAATGATGTTCTTTGGGTTGCAATCATGTTTAGAAGACTCCAGCATGATTTCTAATCCCAAGCGTGTTACAAAAAATGCTACCAAACTGCTACCAGACCTACAACAAATTTCATAGCATCCTAAATTGATTCAAACTGTGATCAATTCTCCTTGCTCATTTTAATAGTGAAGACATGCTTCAAATAATTCATTAACTCCTTCCCAATTTTCTGATTTTTTTTGAAAGCACATATCCACTTTTCAACTATTTTCCTGGGGTGGCTTCCTACTTCCAATAGATTAAAGATGTATTTTCCCTACCATCATTAAAGAGATAGAGGTCAGCCACTACTTTCCTGGGTGCTTTTCTAATTTAAGGTCCCAGTCGATGCAGAATTGCTCTTTTAGTATATCCAGAAAGTTCAGATAGAACAATGTGGTGAAAGTTCACTGGGCTTGTTTCAAAACCGTGGCAGGCCTTCAATGTTTTTTTTTTTTGAACAAAATACCTGAAAAATCATCTCTGCCTATGTGATTCTGTCCATTATTTAAAACATTCCCAGGGGTCTTTTTTTCTTTAGTTTCGGAGAGGATGTTAAATTTCTTTTAAAATGCTGCTTTGTTCAGCACATTAAAATATACTGGTTGTACCCTCTGATCTTCAGATTGTTGTTTTCCTGCTGTTAGATGTTTTATTGATCCATTAACTACTTCTAAAGTTTCAAAACTGAAAGCTGCATTTAGGGTATAACATTCATGCAGTTGTATCTCTTTCCACTCAAAAGTAAAACTTTCATTGCATTGTCTAGCAAACATGAGTAAACTTGCAGTCACTGAATTTAAATCATAAATTTCCTTGAGTGAATCTGAATTTCTGAAGACTCCACTGAAACTTCAGTATAGCTGACAAATTAGGGAAGTTGTTTGCTTTCCTTTCCTTTGTTGTCCTACTTCCCTAAAATCTTTTGATGGTTGCCCATTCAAATACTGACCTTGCCAACTGTTGGACTTCAGCCAAGAACCACCAGATGCAGCCACACATTAAGATGATGATACATGTTTTTAATTTTGATTGTTCACTGCACCAATTTTACTATTACTGTACATTTTATATCAATTATCCTGGGTCCCAAAGGTACTTTTCCAAAAGGCAACTGGACTTTTATCTTCTTTTCCTTAAAAACATTTTGCTTCTCATCCAAGAAGCTTCTTCAGTTCAGAACTTGGATGAGAAGCGAAACATTTTCAAGGAAAAAAAACCAAGGAAGTCCAGCTGCCTCTTGGAAAAGCAACTTTGGACAACCCTGACATGGATGATTGAGAATCTCCATAGATTATCCTGAACACTATCCTGGTGTTCCTACAAACGGAAAGAAACCGGGGTTAGAAACCTACCTAAATAGTAAATAGAAATAAACGAGTTTGATTTGATGGCCTGCCCTTTAACCTCCTTCCCTCGCTAACGCTGATAAATGTCTATGAAGATTCTCAGTCATGGTTATCCCAAAGGTGCTTTTTTTCCAGAGGCAACTGGACTTTCTGGTTTTTGTTTGAAGACGTTTCGCTTCCCAGCCAAGAAGTTTCATCATCTCTTCAGAAGCTTTTTGGCTGAGAAGCGAAACGTCTTCAAAGAAAAACCAGAAAGTCCAGTTGCCTCTGGAAAAAAAGCACCTTTGGGCGAACGCTGATAATGCTACCTAGTTTGATCATGCAACGTCTTCAAGAAAACCACCAAGGCTCAAAAGAGGACCAAGGACACCCTCCTCTTCCTCCCTCGGACCTGCAACTCGACAAAAACAACCGCAACCGGAACCAAGTGGCGGGAAACAAAAAAAGCAACCTGAGCGAAGAGTAAACGGCGGGGACGAGGCGGCAACAAGGGGAAGCGCGGCTCAGCTCCTCGCTCCTCCGCTGCACTGCGCGCCGCCGCTCCTTCAGGCTGGGCGAGCGAGGGCGCGCGGGCGGAGAAGAGAGGAAGCGAGAGGCTGGCAACATTGTCTCCTCCCCTCGCCCGGCACGCCCCGCGCTGAGACCAGCGGAAGCAGCTGCGGTAGAGCTGGGTGCTGGGTCGAGCAGGGGGAAGGGCTGGCCCGGAGGGGTAAGAGCGCGGGGCCGGTGGGGGGAGGTGGGATCCTACGGCTGGAGGCACCGAGGCGCCCGTTCCCTCTTGGTGAGGTGGGGGGAACGTTAAAGTGGCCCTGAGGGTCTTTTGCCTTTCTTTGACTCGCGGTCTCTCCCCCACCCCCCACCTCCTCCCCAAGCTGCATGTCCTCCGCAGGGGAATCCTCTGTTGCAAAAAAATGTGTGCCTGCGCGGATCTGGGACATCTGCGCAAGAAAGGAGGTTACTCCTTGCCTTGCAGATGCTGAATTTGGAAAGGGACGCCAGCCGGGGACTTCGCCCTGGAGCTCAATTTCAGTGCCGGGCTTTCTTGTTTAACAACTCCCCCCACCCCCCGAGACAGACAGACAGACAGACAGACACACACACACACACACACACACACACACACACACTGCCTTTTGTCTCTGAGCCATGGGTAGAGTGCCTTTTCATTACAAGGGATAGGGTGGAATAAAAAATAATAATAAAATAAAATAAAACTCTACGAGAAACTGGTCAGGATTAGGAGAAGACCAGAGGAGGGTAAGATTTCCAGGCAGGGTTTTTTGTCTCCTTGGAGACAGTGAAGTGCTGAATTGGGGGGATTCTAAGAAGTGCTTCCCTAGAATTTATCAAGGCAGGTGGGTATAAATGGGTATAAATAAAGCTTTCGTTGTTATTATTATTATTATTATCTGAAATGGATGTACTATATCTACTTCTTGCAGAAAAGAGGAAGTTGGGAGGAGTGAGACGGTCCATAAAGAAAGAGGATTCAGTGCTGTTTATGCCACTTTCCTTTGTCTTTACAATGATTTCTTTCTTTTTTGTATTATTACAGATTGACTTGACTGAACATCTGAAAATTGGGTTCTTGGATTCCTAGGTAAACAGAAAACTGCCCTTTGTATTATGAAACTTGCGGGAACCATAATTTTCTTCTTTCTCGTGCAATTGCAACCCATCTTCTTATTTACATCAGTTCGTTTAGTGACTGTTTGATGTTACATAGAAAAAACTGACATGCTTTTCATGCTTATGGCCATTGCAGACTCAATTATGGCCATAAGTGGAGGACTACTTGTATAGTCCATAAGGAATTGTGGAGTTGATGAGCTGTAAATGTTTCTGACAATCTTCTATGATGTATTGATTTCTCAGTTCTCATTTAAAAATAAAAACAAAAAATCTACAGCTGAATGTCAGTTTCATCCTGGACAAAAGACAAAGTCTTTTCTTAAAAACCTCCAGAGCAGGGGTCTCCAACCTTGGCAACTTTAAGACTTGTGGACTTCAACTCCCAGAATTCCTCAGCCAGCTTTGCAAAGGCTGGCTGAGGAATTCTGGGAGTTGAAGTCCACAAGTCTTAAAGTTGCCAAGGTTGGAGACCCCTGATCCAGAGCACCCACAAGTCCAGGAAGCAAGCTGTCCAACTGATTAATTGTTCTCACTTGTCAGGAAATTTCTTCTTAGTTCCAAGGTTGGATCGCTCTTTAATGAGCTTTTGCTCATAGCTTCTTGTCCTGCTCTCAAGTGCTTTGGTGAATAAGTTAACCCCCCTCTTCTCTGTGACAGCCCCACAAGTACCTAATCCTTTTCTTCATTAAGCTAGACATACTTAGTTTCCTTAACTGTTTATCATACAGTTTATGATCCAGATCCTTTATTTTTTATTCTTCTTTACTGCACTCTTTCTACAGTCTCAACATATTTTTTGTATATTGGTGATCAGAACTGGATGCAATATTCCAAGTGTGGCCTCACTAGTGCAATATAGAGTGGTATTATCACTTCTAGTGATCTTGATGCTACTCTTCTGTTGATACAATCTAGAACTGCATTGGCAGCTGCAGCACACTGCTGGTTCATACTTAAGTGATAGTTATTCTCACATTGTTCTATTTTACCAAGAAGTAGGCTGTGATCTACTTTGTCAAATGCCTTACTGAAGCTCCAGTATACTTTTATCCACAGCATTTCCTTGATTCAGTAATTTAGTCACTTTGTCAAAGAAGGCAATACGGTGTGTCTGGCATGATCTGTTTTTAGCAAACCTAGGCTGTGCTTGGAGTCTCTGTAAAGTTACACAAACTTCCTGAGGATTATTTTATCAGTCTAGACGTATCTAAGAATATCCTGATGGGAAGATCTGGATGAAAAGTTGTCATGCCAGGTTCTCTTCTTGTTATTGCTTGGGCTGAGGTATTTTCTCGATTGATTTCTGTCTACTGCAGTTGACAAACATCTGGCAAGTTACAATAATCACATTTCAGTAAATCTCTACTAAATCTAGATCTAAAATAAAAAATCACAAAGTAATATTAAAACCACAGCACAACACAATACAATAAAAAGCCAAAGAAGCAGTCAAAAAATAGAAACAGATATATAAACAGATAGCCAACATTCATAATTCTTAAATGCCATCTTAAATAATTTTGCCTTTAATACATTCCAAACTAATTAAGCAAGAGCTAGTTGAATTTTTGTGGGAAAGGGATTCAAAACACCATCCCAGAAGCAGAGAAGCAGTGTCTGTGGGCTTCTGTTCCCCTTTGGTTTACAAAAATAGGGAGCTACTAGTAGGATCTCCTGGGAATTGCAGGTTGGGCTGATGAAAACAAATTCAGCAGAGGAACTTTTTAAATGTACATATTTTTCCAACAATTTTTAGATATGTTTTACTGGATGCAACCTTATGTTGATCATAAAGGAGCTTCTTTCATTTTCTTCAAGAACCATTCTTCCCTTTTCTTGCCAAGACCAACAGAGATTTTCTTCAGGGTCTAGGCAATCCATGGATGTTACATTCTTTTGAGGGATGGGAATGAGGAGCTTTGTTATCATTACTCCTTGTTCTTTATGCTGTGCTCCTAAATAGAAATTCTTTAGTTTCCTTCTTCCCAGTTCAGTTGACAGATGGATCTGTTTATGGAATGGTACCTATAAGTAAGACCAAATATGGCCTTTTCTCTTACCTAGGGAGCATAGCAGGGCACTTCAAACTCTCCATTAAGAAGACTGGTTAATGTCCTCTCTCTCTCTCTTTAAACCCTTCAGTACCATGTCAGCTGGCAGAGTCCGAACGAAGAAAAAGATCACCACTTTAGATCAAGCACCTGATAATCTTCCATTGAGAAGTTCTGGGAGACAGGTACTGTATGTCTTTCTAAATATATAAATGAAATGGAAATGGTAATCACTTAAATCTTCTTTATATTTAGCATACATTTGCATTTCTGATGCATTTCCCCTCATTCCCTGTATTTGTCTGTGTATCTGTTGCCTACTGCTCTATTGCTATCCAGCTGTTGGAAAAGTGAGGACTTGTAGTAGATTCAGAATGCTGAATTCATATAGTTGTATGTTGCATGGATAGCAATGTGTATGCAAAGCAACCCTCTGCTGCTACCATTATCTCCCAAATAAATAGAGGGCAGAAGGCCAGGCAACAATTATGGATGGAAGGGGCAAGAGAAATTATTTCATCTCCACCCTTGCATTAGATACAATAAGATAGATAAAGTAACCTTTATTGTCATTTTTTACTGTGAGCATACTGAGAAACAAAAATGAAATTCTGTTGCCTGATCTCCAAAAGAAAGTATATATCTACTCATACATATACATAACACACATATATACATGTTATATGCATACATACTATATATACCCCCCCCCCACACACACATTAATCACTGACCATTATGAATACGTAGCAGAAAGAGAAAATATTGGATTCTCTGGCGGCTCTAATGTTTGAACAGAGTTTTAAGTAGCTGAGACTCCTATTAAGGTTATTTCTTCAATGTATATCTCTGCATTAGAATCTTAAGCATTTGAATCTTAGTTGCCCCTATTGTGTGATGCTATTTAAAAATTAAGCTTCTTTTCAGTTGGAATATTGAAGCAGTTTATAGCATTAAAAGATATCTAGCCCCCACCATTAAAATAAATAACATCATAGTTGCAGACTAGGCTGTTTCCTATCTGGAATACTGTCTATGGAGATTCTCAATCACCCATGTCATGGTTGTCCCAAAGATGCTTTTCAAAAGGCAACTGGACTTTCTTTCTTTTTTTTCTTTTGAAAACATTTTGCTTCTCATTCAAGAAGCTTCTTCAGTTCTGACTGAATGGTAAAGAATAGAAAGATTTATATTGTTTGTAGTCATCTGGTCGTTAGACTCGTTAAGTCTCTGAGAATCATTGGGGCCACTTGGGGATTTATCTATACCCTCAGGGTCACCTAAATCAGAGTGCAAACGGGTGTGGAACCTTCTACTGAAAGGACTGTGCTGTAGACCAGGTATCCCCAATCTCTGGGCTACAGCCTATTACTGGGCTGCTGCCCATTTGTCACTGGGTCACATGAGGGCCGGTGGGCATGTGTGTGCTGGTGCAAAACTCCACTCGCACGAGTATCACTGGCACTTGCAGTCCCACTCGTGTGCATGCGCCTGCCCCTCCCACAAAACCATCGCCTGTTTTCCCGCCTCACCCCACTCTGGGCTGCCAACCCGGAAAGATTGGGGAATTCTGTTGCAGACAAGGGATAGATGAAATAAGAAGTGAAACATTTTAAAGGAAAAAACCATGGAAATCCGGTTGCCTTTTGACCTTTGTGACATCTGGAATATTGCTTTCTTGAGGGGGGGCTTGGCTCCTTTTTCCTTCTGAGAACTAGTTACGATTTTTGGATTATTAGGCTGCTATTTATTATT